GAATTAGTAACAGAACCGAGAGGGAGGGATATATTTTGTGGGAACCTTTCGGGTCCTTTCCCATTCCCAGCCGTGGGATTCCCAGACAAGGCTATAAATTTCAAGACCAGTGTTTTGTTTCTTCAGTTTTTTTTTAGTGTCACTTTGCTCCCGAGAAAGCATCAAGATTCCAGATGTGGAATTCCCTGGCTCACTACATGGATTAGCTTAGGCCCGGAGGCTCCCGGACCATCCAGTAAGGCTGACCTTGACCCAACAATTCAGGTTGTATGGGGGGTGGGGCCCAGGATATAGAGTAGGGTCCCGTCTTCTTCAGCCCCACAGAGGGCTCTTGGCCATCCCGGTGTGGCATCAGCATGCCCTGCCCCAGAGGAGATGGAGGAAGCCAGGGAGGCAGGGGGACCGAGGGGATGCCCCCAACCTGGCCCTGCCTCCCCCCTGCTTCAGCTGGGGATCTGAGCCGCTGCAAACAGAACTGGACATGATGGCCCTGCTGGTGGCAAAGCCTCATTTCAGTATTGATCCTGCCTTCCACCGTCCCTGAAGGACAACCAGAGATGGCCCTGGGAAGGGCGCAGGAGAAGGGGAGCTGGGAGGCCAGCACCAGGGGCTGCGACCTCCTCCATGCTCATCACCCCCCGTGGTGCCTGCAGCTCCGGAGAGGCCGTCCTGGCTGTCCCTGAAGTCCGGTCAGTGGGCCGGGGGCAGGAGCGGTGCTGGTGATGAGTTGAGGTGCACAGAACAGCGCAGCAGCGGGTCTGAAGCCCGGCCCTGGAGGCTGATGTCCGGACCCCAGGCGGCCTCCACTGCTCCCTGCGGGCGTGACTGGGGGCCTGCACTTCACCTCTCAGAGCCCCCGTTTTCATCTCTGTGAAGGCAGAATTTGCCGAGGCCCTCCCTGGTGAAGGCCTGGGAGGCATGGAAAGAGCACCCCACGGCGCCTGGCACGCGGCCAGTATTCTACCCCTATGAGCACTTCCACTTCTGCTGCGTAGTTGTTAAAATGAAGGCATTAACTACCAAGTTGTAAGAAGAGCACCAAAAAGGGAGTTGGGAAAGGTATTTCCGGCCCAGCTCAGCCGCCACGGAGGCCTCAGCTGGCTCAGGCTGGAGACCCCTCTGATGCCCACGGCCCCTGCTGTGGGGGCTTCCATGGGGCTGCGACCTGAGAGACAGGGACCACAGGTGGCAGCTCCTGAACCAGGCCTCCCTGCCACGTGGGTAGGAGACCCAGGAGACTTGGACAGAGGTCCTGGGAGCCTGGGGGCAGGTGTGGGAGCCCGGGGCCAGCTCCGAGGCTACCACCTGCAGGTTCTGCCCAGCAAGGCAAAGCCCCCTGGTGGAGAAACAGACACCACCTGTCTGGAGGATCTCTGGATGTTAGAAAATGACAGCATTGCAAAGAGTGGCACAATTATGTGCTTCCTTCAACCAATCAGTGCCTGTAACAGTGAGCGTTGGCAAAGCAGGTTCTCTGGGGCCCTAGTCCCTGGTCCCAGGCTGCTTTGAGAGGGAAGAGGCTTCTGAGATAGCACACAACTCTTCCAGGGACAATAACTCTCAGAGAGGTTCACCCCTTCGGTCATCGGTCCTTCCATTCCGACTGCATGCTAGGCGCTCAGGGGGAGGCTAGGGGCACCACAGAGGCCCTGTCCTGAGGGATGTAGATGCCCAGGGCCTTAGGAGCCCTGCTGTCCTGGGGCCCAGAA